TTTATTGACTGGCGACATTAGATTGCTAAGAGCCGTACGATGGATGCTGGATAGCTCGTGCAACCCTAAACACGTTAATTTGGTATTATTGCCGCGGTAAGTAAAACTTCACACACTAACATGTTTCGCGAGATAGTTCAAGTGGTTAGAGTGCGAATTTACTGACTGGAAGGTCCATGATTCGAACCCGACCTCTACCTCTCGACTTCCCGTCTCTAGTTTATTGTGTTTCTGTATACCATGGTATGGGAACGAACAAGTGGGTCTTTCGGTGATGTAGTCTCACGCACTCATCAGTTATTAATACAGTGGTACTCCACACACTTAGTTTTCCGTCACGTTATCGTAGTAAAGACAACAAGTAGTGGCGGACCGGTCCAATTAGCAATCGACAAATTTGGTGAACTAATCCCACGAAGAAGACAGAGAAGTTTTCGTACAAGTCAGGACCTATCCTGCAAAAGAGAACGGTCGCAGAGTGTGAGCCACAGACCCAGCACCCAGCTCATTAAACTTGCCCAGAGTGTGCACAGATGACAGAAGAATGTTGTTCTTAAGCGCTGATAAATTTGGTTTACTTTTAACAATGGAAGAGTCTACAATACACCTAATACAGGTCCCAGAATATACCACCCGTTACTAATCAGGACAAGAAGCACTGGTACGACTTATCAGTAAACTTTCAACAACGTAACCTACGACGTTTATGTTGATGCGAAGTGAGTATTTGAAATGATTGTTTATATGTTGGAAAAGATTTGAGGATGTCATGAGGCAGGTATAGGTCAGCGGAGCCAAGAATCAACTTGTATCACTCGCGGTCACATAAGTGTCCCTCACTTATTAGATACCCAACTGATTTCTCACTAGTAAGGACATAGGTGGCAACATATCAACTCCACTCACAGGGCATTTGAACTGGGACACTAAGGCAAGCGAGTTGAACTGATTAACATTTTGCCGTCTTGCTGTCTTTTAACTCATGTTACCGATACTGCAACAGAAGAGGCGATACAACTAGTTTTTCATACTTCAGCTGTTCCAGTGAATGAAAATCCTTACGTAGGTTAATCGCAAATGAAGCGAACAAATCTTAGGCTTCAGCAAATCAGGCTAAATCAACTACATTAATGAGTGTAGACATTTAGTTGTGCGACAGCCAGCCGTAGTTATTATAAAAATGTCTTGCGCATAGGGAATTCTTACGATATATTTCGTTCCATAAAAGTGCGCTCCAATTCCATCAACTAAGTCCTATCCTAGAAACCTACTTTCAGACAATGACACACTTGTCTATATATGCCATACTACCTGTAATGCTGCTGAAACGCTTCAACACTAGAAACCTACTTTCAGACAATGACACACTTGTCTATATATGCCATACTACCTGTAATGCTGCTGAAAGCGCTTCAACAGCTCATGACCGGGTTCGCTCTTCATGGAGATAGGCCAAGTTCGCTATAAATGAGAGATATAGCTGAATTCAGTTAAGTTTTTGGTCACAACCAAGTCTCTGTGCTAACGAGTGTATTTGCCAATTTTCGTACAATTTCGGTTCAAGATGAAGTTGAACCGTGGGAACAGCAGTACTCTCGTTCTCTTACCTCAGGGAAGTATGTAAAGTAACCCATGGATGTATTTCTGAACCAGATTCTTGAGTTCGATTGAGTTATCAGAGTCTAATCCACTTGATTACTGCCCTCGATCCTGTTTGAAGTTTGCACCACAACTAAGGTTACGATGGCGTGTTCAAGCAGGAAATGGAGACAGTAAACTGGTTCAGTGTTGCATTCGTTAACCGCACTGGTCACTGCCAGAAAGTGACTGGTTACCTGGCGAATAAGGCTAAGTATGCAAGCCATGGATGACCTGTGCAGATGTCGTTCCAAAGTTCACATCCACGTTTCTGAATGACCAGTTGATAGAGCTGTTCACCTAAGAGAGCCTTTGAATTAAATTAGCATATTCTATCATTCTCTATGGTCAGCGGAGGATTTTACTTGCTTTTGCCTAAGCAGTGTGTTAGGTGCTCTGGTTGCAAGCGTCTCACTTTCTGTTGCGTGATGCGACGCGCTGTCAACTAAGAGATGACACGGTGTGGAGAATACGCATCTCGTCTGTCGCTGTTGTAGCAAGCAGCCGGCACATCAGGTCGGTTGGCTTGAAGGATGTTTATCCAAGGCTGCCAGCATGCAATTTAATCCAATAGAGCCAAAGTACTTGTTGCATGTTGCGCAATCTCCTCATGGAATTAAACTTTCCCTTCCACTTGGGTAGAGATTAAGGAAGGCCCGTCCTAAGGTATGAGATACATCTGGGCATAGATGCTTCACTTGTGGTCCGATAGGCTACCCGTTACCATTATGATCAGCAACCATAGAACAGTGGACGCGTTCGAAAAGGCTCAAAATTTGTGCTAATGTGTGAGGACTTGCTGGATCAATGCAAATAGATAAGGCAGACAATTTGATCTTGAATTGACGGACGTTCAGTGTCAGGCTAACAGAAATAGGGCATAATAAAAGGGCGATAAATCCGGAAACCGGTCATTGACACAACACAGTGACTAACGGAATGTCTTGTGTTGCAGTCCCATTTTGCAGTTCGGTAGAATATGTCACTGCTCTTAGTCCCGATCCATCCAATCATTAAGACCGGTTAGTTTTCCTTTCCGCTAATTTGGTAGCCCTCATTATGAGTAATATTTATCATTGCATTATTATTGTTATTTAAAAACCAAGAGTACTTCATTACTTAGGATGTTCACTATCGCATTCAAGGATTCAGAACTGTGACCAGACCAGGACTGTCTCAATTTGTTACTGTTGTATCGGCTCGTGTCATCGCCTGAACGTTTGGAGCGACAGCCTGCCGCCGATCACTGTGGTTCCATTCATCTCAAGCTGCTAGCGTTGAAGAAAACACGAAACTGTAGCCAGACTTAGCCTAAACACCGGGAAGCTAATCATTTTTTTACATCGCTCCGAATGACCAACTAAAAAAAGCGTTTGCTATTCGGAATGGATACGAATCATATCTGGAGAGAAGCGCGTCACAACTCATTTTCGATCCACTGAGTCCTTCTCTGATCATATATTTCCATGAAATATTAACCAGTAAATTCACTAATTCCCGCAAATGAGACACAAGATATGGAATCTTTAGGTGACTCTCTCTGTGGATGTCAGCTTTAAAACAAAATGTATTTGGTTTTGTGAAAATCCAGTAATCAAAAATGAACCACACAGTTGTAACATTCTTCCGGTTCCCAGCTGTCAACCTACCCGGAAGAAGCACGAGGATACTGCCAAGTTGCCCAATCATGGAGAGAGGAAGTCGAGAGGTGGAAGTCGGGTTCGAACCACGGACCTTCAAGTCAGCAAATTTGTGCTCTAACCACTTGAGCCATCTCGCTCCTAAATCCAGTAATACAAATATGCCAATGCAATGTGAGAGGAAGGGTGCAGTTGAACATTAGAACTGGATTAAGAACATCGCTGAAGTGAATCAAGTATTTGGCAGTTTGTTTGTTTGCTGAGCTGGGCAGTTTGATTGCAAACGTTTCACCTCCAATCGAGGTAACCTCATCACTGCGTTGTTAGAGTAGTGATGCGTAACGATGAGTTTGTTAGAGATACCCCAGAGAACGAGCAGGAACTACAGGAATAGACAACCAACCAACTGGTTCCCCATTTAGAATGGGAGGGCTGAACATGCGCGATGAGCTGTACTCAGAAATTAAGGCTTTCTTAGTAACTTCATTCCGATCACCTCATTTCAAAGACGGCTGTCTGCCGAGGTAAGGAAAGTGATTTTCGAGTGCAGGCTGAAAACTGAAATTTCCCCACATGTTCATGGGATAATTCAGGTGCACAACGCATGCTTAATTTTTAGTAAACTTTGCTTAACTTTTGTTTTTTAGTGGTCTTCACCTTCAGATGAAACCGCATCACCAACTGAAATGCTCTCCAGAAACACCATGTCGGAGCGCCCATCTATAGCAGTCTCAGACGTTGAGTGCGGCAATATCCTAAATGCCTCCTAGATACCTGGTCACTGGACGTAAAATATATATACCACTGTCCATAACTTTCTCATAGTTTTCCTCGCCAAAGAAAAAAATGCTGGCATTTCCAGCTACGGTTCACGTGCATCTCAGATGGTAGAAAGATGCATTTGGAAATTACTTGTGGGTGTCTTGTTCTAAGCTACTTTTTGCCTTCATCCTGGTGAGACACTTTTCATATTGTTCAAACGAGGCCCCTTTCAATCAGCTGAGACGTAACAAGGATTGTTCAAGAAAGTACGCATCATGGTATCCTCAAGTCTTTCCATCATGGAGGCAAGGGAGGCAAGCTCACTGAAGAAGTTGTTCATGTTAGTAGTCTTCTTTTTACAAAGACTAATCATTGGACAGATTGCAATACTGACACTAACAGGTGTGCGGCTTCTTAAGCATTGATCTACATCCTCAAGGTATGTAGCAATTTATGCAAAATTTATCATTGTTAAGTAACACCTAGAATTCTATTCGAGTTTGTTCCCCTAAGTAGTTTGCTCTTTTCTTCTTAGATTGGTTTAAAACGTCACGAATGTTGGTGAACTATTCCAACGTTCATCGCACAGTCCAGTTATTTGTCTTACCAAGCTTGATTTTTTTTGCTGATAACCCCATATGAGTCTTCACTCAGTGTGGCTTGGAAAATTTCGGCTGGCAACTTCGCAAAAGGTTTATAGAATGGTGTCTGCTGATTAACAGTAAATGCAAGAGGCTCGTACGTCAGAATGTCAATCTGATCATCAGCGACCAGCTTTATCTTGACCAAAGTACACTGATTAGCCGTCCGCAATACTTGACAGGTGTTTGCACGCTTGTGGTCATGAGTATTCGCACTATACATATTGATAGAACCACAGCCATAATACGGCTGGCACAAGATGAAAGCCTAACAGTTAGGAGTACTATATTTTAGTCGGGTCGGTGTGTCTGGACTGAAATGAGGATATCCCGTACGCAAGACCATCATCGTCGAAACGGTAATTCGCCTAGGCAGCGGATCTTGAGACCAGTCGGTGAACATCGAAGCCGGTAAGGCTATGAAAGCTAGTTTCATCGTCACTGTTTGACTGAATTTTAGTGCTCTGAAAATAAGAACTCTCACCCATACACCCTAGTTGTCGAGGGATGAATAGACAAATTTCATAGTAAGAAACTACGAAAGCCATCTGGGTTTACATCTAGATATTCAATAAATTTCCTAGGTGGTCATTGACGCAGTAATACGATATGGCAAATCCAAACGACAGTTGTCAGTGCTTGCGGTCTACGCCAGCATAAAACATGTGACCTTTTTACCATTTAGCTAAAGGTGAAAGCCAGCCATGAAATGAGATACTCTCTCACAGATTTTACCGTAGTATAACGACGAAGATGGTGGCTGTGTTCAGGCATCCGATGAGTTCTTCTGCACAGCCGCCTAATTTATTCCAGCTTCGTTAACGTAAATTACTATTGAAACTTTTACGTTCTCTGAAAAATTGCGCTGGTTACTTATCCACTTCTAGTGCACTGGTTAAGAAAAATCAGGCGCTATCAAAAAATGTCCACTGGTGTTGCAAGTTCATGCTACCTGTCTTCATGATGGCATTTCCTCTGGGGCATTTCGAGTGTGGAGCTCAACGAGTACTAGTTAGTGGCACCAAAACCGACTCTTAAAGAAAGGCCTTTCCAAACGGGGTATCCGAGTTAGGAGAGTACCGTATTGGGCTCAGTCAACCAGGACCACTTTCTATAATAATATGGTACTTTCATTATGTGGAAACTGCAACGGTGGAATATCATTCAAACGTACCCAAGTTGGCTGGGAATGGATTTCACGCCTAGGTCACAAGAAGTCAAAGCAACACAGTAAATATATAGGATTGTTATGTGCATCATGCTATTCAGTGTGTAATAAATGGCTGAAGGAGACTCCGGGGAATAGTCTGCAAGCGTGAATGCCGCAGGCCAAGAATCAATTGGATTAGGCTTGAAGAAACTTAAAGGAATTCAAAAGTTGGCCAACAACAGTCTGTCCATTTTGAGCATAGGATTCAAACCTACTACCAAACCTGTCAATATAGAGAAAAGGAGCCGAAAAAATAGGATATAAGCGCCATCATGTGATTGGAAGCAACAAGCAAAATTCTAACAATGCTTCTTGGTTAGACATTTGCACAAAATAGACACACTCGGAATTTCCAATACATCATCTCTGGCAGCCACTCGCCTTGCCAAGATATGACCAAACTGTGTGGTTAACTTGATGAGTTCTCCACCGAAAATGGTGACTATTCAGTTCAGTAAGGCAGCAATAAATCCACACTTTTGCATGTTTTTTCGCCTAAATTTCACGTCTATACCCATTTTTAGGAAGGAAACAGATTAGTCCCTGAATTAGAGAGAAACCTGTTTATCATTCGAATGGCAAAAAACAGTAGGTGTAGAACGGTGGTCACTTTAGACAAGTACGATGTATACCTTTGAACATTTAGCGGCCCTGCAGTGAAAGCACTATTTTTCTCAGTCCTATCATAAACTACCGACTATCTCATTAATGTCAATCCAGCTGCTTGCAAGCGCCATTCAATCCATTGCTTGCATAGCGCGGATAATAAAAGGTGTTTCCACACAACGATCATTCTTTTCAATTCAACCTTATTGTGTTCGTCCGTGCAATGTAACATGCTGTGGTTTTCTCTGTTCACCTAACTTATTGAACATCTCACAGATGCTAATAAGATTATCAGCCTGTCATTCATTCTGATGCGTTCGGCGGTTGTTCACAGTCAGAAGTACTTTTGTCCTCCTGATTCAAAAGCTGTAATCGCTTCCACTGACTGTGTAAGTTCGATGACAACTGTGAAGCGATTCGTATGGGGTAACTCGGAACAGTGGGATTTTAGAGTGCAGTGTTTGGTAGTATGTTTCGGTGTGAAAGTGTGTGTGAAAGTGCATAGCTCGAAGTGATGGCCTGCTCGTGTTAGACGAATTATGGGTGGCTGTGGACTAAATATCCCCTCATTGTGCATTGCGCACACAATAGCCAAAGCAACGAGTTAGATTTTCCTCAAAATTTCGCACCTTGTTGCTGAACTCAGCTAACTTTTGGGATAAAAGACGTAGTAAAGTAACCTAATCAACTTTTCAGCTTCACCTATTTGGACGCATTTGGTCCAGTTTTGTTCTGTCTTTATAGCACTCCGCAGATATGCACGTTCACCCACGATACTTAACTGTGATGCTTTTTTGCGACGCTATGGTAGACTTCATATCCCAACAGCCCCTTTGGAACTTCATAGTTGTGTTGTTGGACGAGAACCAGAAATGTTTTGGTCATCTGTGAAACGATGCTAACCCAAGCTTAGTAATCGAAGACATACAAATTCTCATCATGCCTGTGCGTAATGAAAAAGTCCCAGGATATTCCCCAGAACTTGAAGACAGATTAGACAGGCCAGACAAAGCTGATGCGTTGACTACTGAACTGATACTATTGTGACCATACAAGGGCGAGAAAGACAGTGCAACTGTGCACTTAAACGTAATTTGTGACGCCCGCAGATTTCAGCTGCTTCGGAATAAAAGCTGTAACCTATCGGTAAGGAGTGGAATATGGTGAGGATGACCCTACAGACTGTGAAAAGTTACTGATTTTCCATTAGGCCGTGTGGGGAGACATTTATCTTGAACAGACCACATGTATTTCGTTTCTTCAGGCGATATTCTAACTTTTATTCCCAAAAATGGGAATGCCACATATCTGCCTCATCCATTTTACTCAGCTAGTACCGGGGAGATCCACACGAACGGCATAAGTGCCGGACAATAGTTTCTCACTCAATCTATCCCTCCAAACGTGAGAAATTCCAAGTAAGATGACCTGGCAATCAATGACGAGCTACCTCGAACAGTGAGGAAGGCGACTCAGGGCTATTACTAGATCCACCTTAATGGCTGATCACGCTTTTCATGTAGATGTGTTTGGGTTACCGATCCGACATTATACCCGTACTGACAAAAACCAAACAGCATAGGCGTTAGTGATGATGAGGACGGAAATTTGAAGACCGTAGAGCAGTGCACAACTTCTGACAATGTAGTTGGGATGTTAGAAAGCCACGACCTACCAAGTTCCATTTTGGAGTTGCAGTCACCGTCCTCTTGTAGCGCATCCAAAAAGAGATGCTCACAGGGACTCTTAACCGATTCAAACAGTCTGCTAACCGCTGGCATCGTTTTTCCATCTTTTTACGCACCATTGATGATGATGTCCCCTCTTCCTTGTATCCACACATTTGAGGAAAGATGGCTAAAGTCAAGGCTTCTTCTCTCCACCTGTAGTATTCAAGATAGTAGTTAGGTCACCTCTGGCATTTCTTTACGTATGTGGAAACGAATTCCAGTTGTTCAACTTACAACCACTCATCCTGATAGAAGCATGTTGTAATACTTTGATTTTAAGCATGTCATCTGTGTTAAGCCGCAGTATAATCGTATTCGAGAGTCGGAACTACATGTGCACCACACAGGCCTCATGCATCTGGTGTGGAAAAATATACACAGCCACATCTTCCACTGTTTCGAAGCGACCATTTGTGATTACTCTTGCTGTCGTGCTCTTCGCCGACGAATTTCCTTGTCTCCCGGATAGCACATATGCTCATTTGCGTATGAGCACAAGTCGAAGTTTTCCATCGGGAATTTATGACTGTGTTCGGCCAGTCCGTTCAGACAGAATGAGAAGAGGAATTCTAAACTGATCCGATTCTGTGTTTCTATTGTTTCACCCCATCAGAGCTATCCTCTAATCATTAGAACCTTTTTGGATTTTCAATCAATTGGAAAAAGTTTGGAACCGATTGAGGAGTCATCATTTCAGAAGAGCTTGGTAAACAATCGGTAGTTTTTATTTGGGCAACGTTTCGCTTTTGACACAAAAGCTTCATCAGGCCAAGTGAACAGGTCACAAAATTGGCCAGGTTATAAGACAGACGGGGAACCAATCAGTAAGTTCTCTTCAGACTAAATCAGTGTTGAGTGTCAATTAACGGCTCTTGTCGGCTAGTGTGGGTGCCAAAATCTTGAATCGATGTGTTGGAGGGTTCCAAATTAGTTCCGATCGCTTTCCGTTCCTTAATCTTCCACTTCAGAATGCTTCACCTGATGATTCGCCTCGGGTGCCGCTGTTAGATTTTCCTTAGTTTTTGTGGGGTTGGATTTTCTTCACGAAACATGTGAACTCTGAATTGAAAAAATGATTTGTAATTGCATACTTTTCCGTCAACAATCATAATACGTGTTTTATTAAGCACGGTAGATTTATAACCTCTTAAGCAAATCGCGTAGAATATTTCGGCATCTTTCAGCACTGATTGAGGAACTATCTGATTCACTATTGAGTTGAGCGTATTCTAAAAAAGTTTCACTTGAGGACTAAAGGAAAAGTGAACCGTTTTTCCGGAAGTTGTGCTACCGGGCTGCAAAATCCTAACTAACAAAGCCGCTTTCTTGTACACTTTGTGACTGAAAATTAAGGATATTCTGAGAAATAATGATGCCAGAGCTCTAAGTTAGCAATATCCACGCATTATCCCTTACTCGTGATGGAGGTGATTGTGACTGTATAGAAAGCCAAAATTCGCCCAATGTCAACAGTTCGGTGGCTTTCATTGTTGGTGACCACCAAAAGCGTAGCCCCTGTAACGTAAGCCAGTACTGTGCGTTCTTTTACTTGCTTCTTGCTGCTTTCAAGATATGATATAAATCGCACGTGTTTTACGTCCCCGAATGACACAATATCTCGAAAAGTTAACCTCCAGCGACTAGTATCTTCTTGTTTCGCTAATAAACAGGGTAGCAGAAAACCAGTAGTTCTGGTCTGGTTCCTGTGGTTCCTCATTCTGCACCACTTTATACTGAAAGATACATTTATGAAGCGGAAAATGGTAACCACCGAAGTCGTGCTTATCACATAAAACAACCAAGTAATCCTCCAACCAACCACTTCCCATCTGGAGTCCGTTAACCACTTGTATCACACACCCATAAATTGAAAACTTGGGTGGGAGCAAGAATAATTAAAAACTAAAAATATTACAATTTGCAGCCATTTCATTGGAGATATCTTCAGTTTTCGCACTAGTGAGGTATCAAAGCTGTTCCTCATGTAACACTACTCAAATGATTGGCGATATTACTTGGACAGTGTATCAACAACTCTGTCGTTGTTTTGGAACCACAAGGGAAGTCCAAATTATGACAAATTCGTTTTTTTAGTATGATGTGTAGGTAAATTTGTGATTGAAATTTTTCAGGTCTTTTCTCAACATCAATTCACAACGTACAGTTTACCTATTTAGGATGCAAAGGGCAGCCTGATTTTGAAAGTCGCCCAAGGAAGTTGTTCATTTGGGAGATTGATAGTCTTCAACGGTTGATTTATTGTGTATGTGCGGAACGAGTCACACAAGATGCTCACACACATATACACCCCATGAAACAGCCTCGTCGCAGTAACTCAGGTGATACGCCGCTTGTGTGTTAAAGGAGGATTCATAATTATGATTTCTACAGTCGGCGCAAGGGTTTTCCTCGTGCATTATGTGTAACGAAAAACAGTACAGTGTACCGGTGTGTCATATAAGCGAAATTTCTTTTACACTACAGAGCAAGATGGATGGCTCATGTCCACATCAAGTTTACTTTCAAATTAAGTAAATATGCATCACTTAAGCCCCTTGCAAACTATCCATAATCTCTGAAGGGTTTTGCGCAATTGCGACATCTCACTATGATAGGGATCTCCAGATATTGTATCTTCTACCGTATACCCTACTAGGTTTCGTTGTAAAATCCCTAATTCAATTGTCTACTTTCTTACTTCTTCTACTAGTACACAATGTTGGTTTCCATAACTTCAGCAGAGTCCACCATTACAATGTTGGCATTCGTGGGCCTTAAATGATTGCCCATGAAGGCCATTGGTTATCAGGTGCTGTGCTCACGCTATCGGATGTCTGCGTAAAATCAGAAGAGCCATGAGTTAACTGGCTGTGTTTCAGTGACGCTTAGCGTAAGTGAAATAAAACCAACATCAGTAAACGCAAAACCAAAGGTACACCGGTGATCAAGCACTGCTTCCGGTGTAAAACATAGCCTGTTTTGGTTTGAAATGACGGCGACGCGTGTCAGTTCGGGTTGGAATCAAAAAATTTTCTCCAAATTTTATATTTTGATGGATATCCTCATTTGGTTATAGTCGTTGGATACTCTGCGTGGTTTAGACGAATCCACACTAATATTCAGCCGATCAGTCAGTTTACGAGAGCACTCAATACTGCTCCAGGTCGAAGGTGACGCCGTTGGCCAGAAGCGTGGGGCAGCTCATTTTCATTTTTTATTAGACAGATTGAAGAAGCTCTCTATAGCGGGAACCTTTCAAGCGTCCACTTGTCTATGCTTATAGCTTTTGGTCGGTCGCGTCGAATACTTTATATTGCGACCATTGGTCTAGCAACAGTTAGAGAAGAATTTTCCTCATTTAATACTGTGTTGCTTTTCAAAACTGCCATTGTTATTGCAGGATACATTCTCATTCATGGACGCACCAGATTAGGAAACCCCTTACGATATCTCCCCAAATGGAGGGTTCATCTCGCAAAAGTTATCCCCGACAGTCAACTTACCTGAATTTACACTGCTGTTTCACTAAGGCGCCCCACATCATAAACTCTCCCCGACCCCACAGAGTCTCGTTTGTTGAGGGCATTGAAGCCTTCCTACTTGTGAAATACTACCTACCACTGGGCGTTTGCTTTCGGCTTATAACGTCACTAACATTTTCCCTAAGTTGTTTTTGCATCCAAAAAACAACTAGGTGATGAATGAGCCTACTAAGCACAGTGAAAGATAAAGATCGGTACTTAAGTCCAATTCATACACCCATCTGCATGTCAGATTGATTTCGACGGGAGGTTCACCTGAAACCAAGCTGAACCTTTCGTCCATAGCGTTCTTGAGCAACTGAATGTGCTGCACTAGGTCGCCTCATGTTTCAGCTGGTACGATATTCGAGATATCACTATACACTTTATGGACATAATACACGTATGAGTTAGGTCGTAAGTCGCAACCCGTAGTCGAATGCAAAGTTGGGCAAGTAGGTCAGAACGTCAGCTCTAGGTGTTCCGCACAATTGTCGCATTTTATATTCCTTTTAAAAGCTCATCTATCCCTACTTGTCTCACTTAGCTGAACGGGTCATGCCCACTATACTGTGGCACCACACAACCCCATCACCTTAACAATTCCATCGTGCCAGATGGCTACCATATCAATAAAATAGCCTATCGTCTTTCCGTGTACTTCCGTCCGTCACAAGGTCCACTTCACGTTACTATACTTTGGTCGACCGACCGACCGACCAACCAACCGACCGACCGAGTACTGAGTTTCTCACTGGACCTTGTGTCATTGTCCCTAGACATTTCTCTTCACACCCCTCAGTGGTGGTGATGGGAGATCATACACATGGATTCAAACCATTGAGTTGGAAAGCAGACTTCCGCGGCAACTGTTTGAAGTGGGCTTTTTCTCGTGTCAAGTTCGATTTTTGTCTCCTGCTGGGTTTGCTCAAGCACATATATCCTAGTCATTCATTCGCCTTCACGTGTAAACGCAGGTCCTAAAAAATCCACTTTGGTGGTCACGAGTTTCACACGGTTCACTCAAAGGTTCCATCAAAGTCGCAAACACACACTGCAGGTGTTTGCAAGCGTCTCTCTCATGTTATTCCAATCTGTTTTATATCAGTCACCGAAGAACAATTGT